GGGCGGGGCTGCACATGCTCCGAGGGAGCGGCCCCAGGGTAATCCTGCCGTTTCCTCCCCGGGCACGCCGCGGCTCGGGCTCCCGCGCTCGGCGTGGGATGGAGCGGCTGCTGTGTCATGGATAATTAATGTTTGCTGCGTGTCTGCAGAGGTGCTGCGTGCTCACGTGAAAGCTTTCGCTGGGTTGGGCTGTAGGCTGATGCTCTTAGGCTTTGCTCGCAAGCGATAAGTAGGAAGCAGTGACCGTAATCTAATACGAAAATGGCTCTTTTCCAGGTCAGAGTGGAGCAGGAAACAACTGGGCAAAGGGCCACTATACGGAAGGTGCTGAATTAGTCGATTCTGTGTTAGATGTTGTAAGGAAGGAGGCGGAAAGCTGCGATTGTCTGCAGGGCTTTCAGCTTACTCATTCCCTGGGTGGTGGCACGGGCTCTGGCATGGGTACCCTCCTCATCAGCAAAATCCGTGAGGAGTACCCAGACCGGATCATGAATACTTTCAGTGTCGTGCCCTCCCCCAAAGTGTCAGATACCGTAGTAGAACCCTACAATGCCACCCTGTCTGTGCATCAGCTGGTGGAGAACACGGACGAGACCTACTGTATCGATAACGAGGCTTTGTACGACATATGCTTCAGAACACTGAAGTTAACCACCCCAACCTATGGTGATCTGAACCATCTCGTGTCGGCTACCATGAGCGGTGTCACCACCTGCCTGCGGTTCCCAGGCCAGCTCAACGCTGACCTGAGGAAGCTGGCAGTGAACATGGTTCCTTTCCCTCGTTTGCACTTCTTCATGCCCGGCTTCGCCCCTCTGACGAGCCGTGGCAGCCAGCAGTACCGAGCCCTGACGGTGCCGGAGCTCACGCAGCAGATGTTCGATGCCAAGAACATGATGGCGGCGTGTGACCCGCGCCACGGGCGCTACCTGACCGTGGCCGCTGTCTTCAGGGGCCGCATGTCAATGAAGGAGGTGGATGAGCAGATGCTAAACGTTCAGAACAAAAATAGCAGCTATTTTGTGGAATGGATTCCTAACAATGTGAAAACAGCGGTCTGTGACATTCCACCTCGTGGCCTCAAAATGTCTGCCACCTTCATTGGCAACAGCACGGCCATCCAGGAGCTGTTCAAACGCATCTCTGAGCAGTTCACTGCGATGTTTCGCAGAAAGGCTTTCCTGCACTGGTACACTGGAGAGGGCATGGATGAGATGGAGTTCACAGAGGCTGAGAGCAACATGAACGACCTGGTGTCCGAGTACCAGCAGTACCAGGACGCCACAGCCGAGGAGGAGGGGGAGTTTGAGGAGGAGGCTGAGGAGGAAGCAGAATAAAGCTATGCATTTGAACACCTGTAAATTTTGTTTAAAGTTGTATGAATCTCTCATTGACAAGTTCTTTGTTTGTGTTGTGTTCTTATTCTTGTTTCAAAGTCACTTCCAATGCTGTACAGGCACCATTAAAGCAGTTTTCACAGTGCACGAGCTGGTGTCCTCTCTTCCTTTTGGGAAGCTCCCTGGGTGCCATCCTCATAGGTCAGCCTGAGGTCTGGAAGAGGAAAACAGCTTGGCATGAGCACTGTCACCTTTGCCCGTGGCACCTCCCTCCAGCCACTGTGATCGCTGTCACTGCCTGGTGCCACTCCTGCCTGCTCTGGGGGCGTGGGCAGTGAAGACATTTCCTGGTATTCCCTTAGGATCAGGTGCTGCTGGAGGGGCACACACTTCACAGGGAGGATGGAATTGGCTCCAGGCTGTGTCTAAATTTAGGTACCAGCGTGAGGGCTGTTGCAGCCTCTCAGGGCAGGAGCAGCTGCTGCCAGGGACAGACAGGGTGTGCTGGGGGGGTGGAGTTAGAGCTGCCTGGGCACAAAATGGTGTTGCTGGCAGCAGGTGAGCAGATCCACTGCAGCTCCTTGGCAGGTAGCTGAGTCCTGGCCCAGGAGCACTGGGGTCAGCTGTGACACACTCTGTGGCACCTGCTACTAAGGACAAGTGCCACTAGAGCTGCTCCGTGCACAGCTTTGCTGCAGTTGCTTCCAAAATGAGTTTGCAGAGGTTTTGAAGTAAAGCACAGCCTGTGCTTTTGGGGAGAGCTCTGCACCTGGTACCAGCTGGCACTGGTTTGTAGTGAAAACCTGTGTGAACAGCACATTATTACTGGGCAGAGTTAATAGCTCAGTGTCACCTGAAGTGACACAGCTGTCACTGAGTAGCTGGACAGGAGGGAGCCAAGAAATTCTGATGAAGGTTCTAAATTGCAACTGAGTCTTAAGTTTTTCTGCCTTCATTCATTTCTCCACCCAGAGCAAAACTGGTTGGAGCAGTCAGAGCTGCCCTGACTGTGGTGGCTCCTGGGCCAGGGAACTGGGGATGTCTGCAGGAACAGGTGCCCTGTGCCAGGCCTGCATGGGAGAACAGGCTGAGGGGGAAGATGGCACTACATTTTCTGTGACATGAAGTAAAACAGGAGTTGGGTCTTGCCCTTGATTTTAGGGCGAAGGGAGGGCAGGGCCCTGGAGACAGGGCTAACACCAGAGTCTTGGGTAGGGGCCCTGAGGATTTTCCTCAGGGGACTCCAACTTGCAGGCCACAGCCTTGTGGAGTGTGAGCACAGCCCTCCCTGTGGAGCAGCACCCGGAGACACGCCGGGAAGGACAGGGTGAGGGTAACAGGGACAGCAGTGGTGTCGTCCCAGCCATGTGGGGACAGAGGCCAAACTCGACTCGCTGCTTCCACCTTTGAGCATGAGGCCTGCCCAGCCTCACCTGTCCCTGTCCCCCCCTTGGACCATCCTTCCAGCTCCTGCTGACTGCCCAGGTGGGTGTTCCACTGGGCTTTCCCAGGCCCTGATACAAACCTTAAGGAAAGCCACACTCAGTGCCTCAGCATTCTCTTCCCTGGGCTCAGCCTCTCCATCAGCCACAGCCCAACCCTGCCAGGATTGCTTTCCCACTCTGCTTCCAATTCCACCACATTTTCTGTCTTAGCCCATTTCCCCCTCTGCACTGCAGTAAGGACAAGCAATGAGTTCAGCTCTCCCTAGCTGAGCTCCATCATCCCCCACCCACACTGCTGAGCTCTGACCAAACAGCAATACAGCAGTTGCTGATTTGCTGAGATTTTAGCCTGTTACCTTAATGCTTCCAGGTGCATGGGCAACACCTTCCCCCTGCACACAAAATTCCTTCCAACCTCCTTTCAGGCAGCACCAAGACCTGACAATGCTCACCCAGACCCCGGGGCAGCCCCCACCTGTCCTGGTGGCCAATGCCATTCCACCAGGTGCTTTCTCAACCCCTTTGTATCCTCTGTCTTGTGCTCTTTATCAGCCTTGAAGTTTTTCAGAACAGAATCACTTTCCTGACCCTCCCCAGCCGGGGGAGAATGTGCCCCAGTGAGGGCATGGCACAGCTCCAGCACCTTGGCACAGAGTGAAGGAAAAAATCTACCACCCATGTGGAGCACTACAGTCATTGTTCACTTCTGTGCCACTCCAGCTAATAACAGCACTGGTTACCCACTGTAATTAGTATTGGTGACTTTCATTGTCATGCAGCTGATGAACTTACGTGGGATACAGCCTGGGCAGGAAGGTGTGAGCCCAGCACTGGGGTGAAGTCTCTGCTCAGGCCAGTGTGATGGGGGATATCTCAGGCCCAAGGTGTAAGGAGGATTTCTACTCCTAATCTGGAAAACAAACAAAAAAATCCTCAACATGACAACATGGAATGTTTCATTTTCAAACACACTATTTTTACCAAAGTCATGTGCTTTGACTTTGCATTATAGAAAATATTTAAGCCAATGTAAAGCAAATCTCTTTCCAGTTCTACTTTCTCCTAATTAAAAGCTCCATTGCACCTCCTCTTTTTCCACTCCATAAGTTTTCCTCCTGGCAGGTGTTGGCAGCAGCCCCTGCCAGCTCATCCCCTGGTGCCCAGGGCAGGTCCTGGCCCAGGTGCAATCCTCAGGATCTCTGCAGACTGGGCTGGATTTATGCCCTTTGGCATCACACCAAGTCCCAAACACCTCCTGCTCTGCTGCCTGTGAGCCAGCAGGACCTGGGCACACACTGCCCTGCTCCTGTGTGGGTCTGTGCACACCTTCGACTGCTTTTGCACTCCCATGAGTCCACCTACAGCAATTAACAATTCCCAGGCCAGGAGGAACAGGAATGCTGAGGGAGAGAGTAAATCATCCCCTGGCAGCATCACTGCCCTCCGAGGCCGGAGCCAGGCGAGGGGCTGGGCAGTGTCACAGCTCTGCAGCCACAGAACCCCCAGAGGGTGACTCTGGAGCTGTGCCACCCCTTTGGGGGTGGGATGGGGGTCCCAGGGCTGTGCAGCCCTTTGTAAGCTCGATGGAGCTGTGGCAGCAGCTCGAGGGGATTGTGCTCTGCTGCCTGATGCAGGCAGTAAGCAATGATCCATGGCACATCCCGGTATGTAACCTAGGGCAACAGAGATTTAGGGCAGAAGATTAGTGGCTTGAAGTCAGAAGCCATCTTAGATGGCAATGTGGTGTGATTCCCTCTCCTGAGCTGCCTGTGTTCCTCCCATTCCACTGAATCCTGCTGCAGACACACCTCCCTCGCTCATCTGCTGCATGGCAGAGCTTGCTGAAGGAATCAGGGGCAGAAAGTCTTTGCACACAGCACCTTCAGCACGGATAATGCCTGGGTTTTGTTGTGTTTGCTCCATTTCAATTCCCACGAACAGCAGCAGGGAGGGAGGAGGAAGCCAGTGCAGGGAAATGCATCTCAGCCAAGGCTCAGTGCTGCCCTGGGCACAGCCCTGCTGCTCTCCGGCTGACTCACTGCTTCCAGCTCATTTCCCTGAGCTAGGAATCCTCAGTCTTGGGCGTTTTTCCTACATCAGACCCGGATGCTCTGGGATGAAGGCACAACAGTGGGTCCTGAGGACTAGGAAGGGCTGGAATACTGTAACCTGCTTTTACTGAGCTGGACCAGCGAGGCTGCTGCATCCCAGGGGTCTGAGAGCATCCCAGGGGTCTGAGAGCATCCCAGGGGTCTGAGAGCATGCCAGGGGTCTGAGAGCATGCCAGGGACCTGACAGCATGCCAGGGACCTGACAGCATGCCAGGGACCTGACAGCATCCCAGGGACCTGACAGCATCCCAGGGACCTGACAGCATCCCAGGGACCTGAGAGCATCCCAGGGACCTGAGAGCATCCCAGGGACCTGAGAGCATCCCAGGGACCTGAGAGCATCCCAAGGGTCTGACAGCATCCCAGGGATCTGACAGCATCCCAGGGATCTGACAGCATCCCAGGGATCTGACAGCATCCCAGGGATCTGACAGCATCCCAGGGATCTGACAGCATCCCAGGGATCTGACAGCATCCCAGGGATCTGACAGCATCCCAGGGATCTGACAGCATCCCAGGGATCTGACAGCATCCCAGGGATCTGACAGTGGGGATCTCACTGCATCCCAAGCATCCGACTGCATCCCGAGGACCAGACTGCACCCTGGGGGAAGGAAGGAATGTGTAGCTTTGCATCCAAACCATTAACTGCTGTGGGAGGGATCTCATTTTCCCTGTGCAGGAGGATTATGTGGCATCATATAGGAGCTCTTAAAGCAAGGGGACAACTTAGCTTTTTCAGTAGGGATATTTCTCCATCCTTCCCAAAAGGAGGAGAAAAGATCTAGATCCCTTTAAGACAAATTATGTTAGTAAAGGAAAATCCTTACAACCAACTAAATGGGAGATGTGTCCACCCAAGCAGCACAGGAATGCATCCAGCACTGCTTTCCAGACAGGGAAGTTATATTCCATAAGGGAAGTGCAGATAGTCACATCCTGTGTTTCTGCACTCAGAGCAACATTTTTACCAGCCACCCTTGACCCAGCCCTCAACGGATTTGCTTAATCCTTTTATGAACTCATTTATCCTCCCTGAATGTCCCAAGGAAACAAGTTACAGAATTTAATTGCTCATGTTTTTTTCAACATGTTACCTAACAGCATTTTGTTTTGCTTGTGCTTATAACCCAGTTCTGATCCATCTCCTGCAAATGCAGCTGGAGCAGCCCCAACATCAGGCACATTCTCAGTCCAACAATGTATAATCTACCTGTTTCTGGTCAAAGCTGAGCACTGCTTTCTTCACAGCTGGGATGTAGGACAGACCCCTGGTGTAGTCAAAGCAGGGAATGTATCCAGTGTAACCTTTGGATGAAGGCAAGAGAGAATATTTTCTACTTGAGAATATATATATCATTTGGATAGACAGGGAGCTGAACAGGAACCAGCAGTGTGCTCAGGGGACCAAGAAGGCCAATGGCATCCTGGCCTGGATCAGGAACAGTGTGGTCAGCAGGACCAGGAGGTGATTCTGCCCTTGCACTGGGCACTGGTGAGACCACACCTTGAATCCTGTGCTCAGTTCTGGGCCCCTCAGCTCAGGAGGGACATTGAGGGGCTGGAGCAGGTCCAGAGAAGAGCAACGAGG